GTGAGAGTTGGACTATAAGAATAGATTCTTTTGAACTATGGTGCTGGAGAAGACTCTTGAGAGTCCCTTGGACTGCAAGAAGATCAAATCAGTCAATCCTAAAAGAAATCAACCCTGACTGTTCCCTGGAAGGCCAGATAATGAAACTGGAGCTCAAATACTTTGGCCACCAATGAGAAGGGAGCACTCACTGGAGAAGACCCTGACGCTGGGAAAGATTGCAGGTCAAAGAAGACGGGGACGGCAAAGGATGAGATGGTTAGACAGTGTCATAGATGCAACGAACATGAAGTTGAGCAAACTTCAGAGGACGGCGGAAGACAGGAGGGCCTGGCGGGATCTGGTCCATGAGGTCGCGAAGAGTCAGACTCAACTGTGCGACTGAAAACAACAACAACAACCACTAGGTGGCGAGCTAGACTTATTTTTTGGGCTGAGAGCGCTCTGAAAGAGCTGTGACTGACCTAGGGTCACCCAGCTGGCTTCATGGGGAGATTAGAGTCTGCCACTCTAAACCAGTACACCACGCTGGCTCTCCACTCTGCCACGAAGCTTGTTGGATGGCCTTGGGCCTGTCGCTCTCTCTCACCCTAACCTCCCTCACAGGGTTGTGGTTGTGAAGAAAAATGGAGAGAACCGTATAAGTCGCTCTGTACTGCCTGGAGGAAGGGCAGGATAGAAAGAGACTAAATAAACATAAGAATAATGTAGGTCGCAACGGGCAAAGTGTTTTCTCTTTAAACATAAATAAGCCACCATCTCACTGTGTTGAGACATAGTCCTGGAATACAATAATTCAGAATATAAATATGACTTTTGGCCAAACCGGCTTAAGTTTAAGGAGCACACCTGCACAAAGCATTTTGTATTTTAAGACTCTGGGGCGTCATGTTGGACCTCTTTTGTTCGTTAATAAGGAAACAAGGGTTGGGGAAAGGCCAAAAGGGCAGGGTGGGGCAACGGTCCTGTAAGGCAAAGGTCTCCCCGCTTCCCCCCTCCCCTTCTGTACTTGCTAAATGAGCTCTGAGGCGCAAGGAACACCACTGGAGTATGACTTCAGCCGCGTTCTCGCTTGCTAGCACGGCCGGCATCAAGGGTCAGTAGGATGAGGCACCTGCCAGAAGGGAAGAACCTTGCAGAGGTCCAGGTGTTGACTGAGCATGCTTGGCTCATGGGCTGCCCCCAGGAAATGGGATACAGCCCCAGAGGACTCTATTCCTTCTTCTTCCCCCAGGTGCTGATGGGGCTTCCGGCAGAATGAATCTCATGCCGTTCTCCCTCCTCCAGGAGGGTGTGTGAACATACGTATAGGAAAAGCCAAGGGTGTGTGTGTGTCTCTGTCACTGGAGAGCGAGTGTTTTGCCCTGGCTCCCCACAAAACTCAGAGGCACCCCTGCTGTTCTCCTTTTGCTCACCGTCAGCCTCCCCACTTTAGGGGCTGCAAGTTTTGCCAGGACTTGAACTCACAAGTTCAAGACTCAAGTACTATAACAATGGGTCCTTTAACCAACACAGCAGAGGAAGGCACCAGTGCGCCACCTGGTCCAGCAAACAGTTATCTTAGAGGGCCAACAAACAGGGTACAGGTGCCAAGGTCTTCCCTTGATGTTGCTTCCAAACATAGGTATTCCCTTGCTTCCTCTGTAGATGGAGGTCCCCTCCACTCACCATGGCTGGTAATAGTTGAGAGACTTCTCCTCCATGAACCTGTCTAATTCCTTTATAACACTATCTGTGCTCATGGCTATCACTACATCCACTGGCAGTAAATTCCACAATTTAACTACACACTGAGTAAAGCAGTATTTTGTTTTGCCTGTCCATTTATAAATCTCTATCACGTCCTTCCCCCCCAAATCTTTTTTTTTCCCTAAAGTGAAAAATCCCTGATTCACTGCTCCCAAAGGGGTTCCAGCACACAATCTAGTTTCTTCTTCACTGTGTCCAAGGAAAAGCGCACTAACTCCACCACATACAGCCAAAAGAAACTCTACGTAGACTGTGGGTAGGGGCGTGGCTCAGTAGCAGAGCATCTGCTCAGCCTGCAAAGGGTCCCAGGTTCAATTCCTGGCACCTCCAGTTAAGGATCAGGTAGCAGGTGATGTGAAAAGACCTCCACCGGTAAGCCTGGAGAGCGGCTGCCAGTCAGAACATACAATACTGACCCCTGATCTGATTCAGTATAAGGCAGCTCCCTGTGCGTGCGTCAATAGACTTACCGGTGGTGTCGCTGGGATGGTCTCTCCCACCCGGCTGCTCCACTTCCGTCAGTGTGTTCCTGTCTCCTTCATCATCTTCCTCTTCAGGCTCCTGGCCTCCAGAAGCCTGTGGCAAAGGCCCCTGGGAGGTAGGCGTCCTGTGCGGGGCAGGCTCGTCTGGGGCACCGGTGGAGGGATAGCTGCGAGAGTAGGGGCTGTGGTTGGGGGGCAGGGAAGGGGCTGCGGGAGGACGGGCAGCATAAGTGAAGGCCGTGGTTTTGTGGACCACTGCAATGTCTTCGAGGTAGCGTTGAAGGGCGTCAGCCAGGGCCCCGCTGCCGTGCTGCAAGTAGTCAAAGCCGCCAGGGGGAGGGGCCCTGAAGGCCGTGAGCAGCACTACTTCGTTGCCAGTCTGACGCCGGTATTGTTCCGCTGCAGCTACCAGGGCTGCCCAGCTCTCCTTGTGGTTGTCTGCCATGGTTGTCATCCTGCGGGGGAACAAGAAGAAAAGGGATTTGTGCGTTAACTACCAAGACTCCTACTTCTCCCGGGGAAAGCTGGGGAGGACGGAAGGGAGGCATGAAGATTTCAGTCGACTAGGTTTGAGCAAGGAGGACCAGAAACGCCCCTTAGGGGAGCTGGGGACTCATGAGGCTGCAGAGAAGGACTACAAGGCTACGGTCTGCTTAGAGGGGCTAGGAAGGAGCCAGGTCTCCTCAGCCTGGGCTAGTAGGCTTGGGAGGTGCTAGAAGCTCTGGGTTTGCTCAGAGGGGCTAAGAAGGAGCCAAGGACTCCTCAGTCCACTCCGAGGGGCTCGGAGCCCTACGTCTACTCAGAGGGGCTCGGATTCTCTGGGAGAGGAATACAACTGAGGAGGCTACAGCAGAGGAAACCGAGTCATGAGAGCTCCTGGTTTCCTTCCAGGAGAAGCAAGAGTAAGGCGAGGAAAGCAGTGCTACTGGATTCACAAGCAAGCAAGCAAGCAAAATGTTCCAGGCATGCCACAAAAGGGAGGAGACTTTACTGAACAAACAACACGAAGGGGAGGGGAAAGTAGGCATCAACAAGGGTGGGGGACTGCCCCCTCCCGAGCCCTCAGGGGGTGTCGAGGAGGGAATGGGGGCCCCGTTACCTTCCAGCGCATCTGAGCTCCCTCCCCACACTCACCCTTCCCCCACTCAGGGTCACCACTCTGGATCCTGACCTCTCACCTTTGACCCCCTTCTGGGACACTGAAGCCCCCCTCCACCTCTAAACAACAACCGCCTCCGCCTCCTTCTCCTCCCCCTTCCCAAAGCTCCGCCTCCTCCGGCTGCCCTCACAAGACATGAGTATGCCGTCCACGCCGTGCCCTTTATAAAGATGGCGTTTGTGGGGGGGAATATGGAGGAAAGGGGTGTGTGCGTGTGGGAGGGGGAAATGCCCAATTCAAAGATGGAGGCGGTGACGATTGGTCCCTAAAAAAAGATGGCAAGCGCTCGCGCACAGACATAAACACGCACGCGCACAAATAAGCGCTAAAATGGAATAGGCGAAGATCGAACGTAGCGGAAAAAAGTTTTAGTCCAGCGGCACCTTTAAGACCAACAAAGTTTTATTCAGGGTGTGAGCTTTCGCGTGCATACTCCTCTCCTCAGACACGGGTACCCACCCGAATCTATTGAATGTAGTAGAAAGTGACCCTTTAAAAATGGCGGGGAAAGCTTCATGACGCCCGGCGCAGATGACCGGAAGTGAGATTGCGAACGAACCAAGTAAGGGCTGCCCGAAGTAAAGATGGCGAGACTATTTAAATACACAGGAATGGAAAAGTGACCGGATTTCCTGATTACTCTTGGGGCCATGTTTGTTTCTCCTTAGAGAGGTAAAAGTGACAAGTGCTCATAGGATACAAAGGAGAAATCCCAGATATTATCTGAGCTGCAATTTTACAGTGGATTGTCGTTACCCTCTGAGAAAAATAACTGAAGCCCTTTCGCACTCCGATCTTCTTGCGGGGATCAAAATATGAATTTTTAAGTGTTTAATACCAAAGAAACTAGTTGAAGAGAAAGAAACCGTGTAATACTTTCCCTCGGTTAACTGTACCGAGGGAGAGTCGTGACTGACAGATTTTGTGACCATATTTCAGATTTACAAAACACACACACACGGTGATGTTATCCCTATGTTGCAGAATAAGGGGAAGCGGAGGTTTACAACAACAGCCCCGCAGTGTAGTCCAGTGTTATTGCCAAATTGGAAGGGAGCCGACGGGTTAATTCGCGTTTGATCCGCGATGATGAAACCCGTCCTTTTCTAACGCTCTGCTTAAATATTTTTGGTAAAAGGGGAGGATGCAGGAAGTTCCGTCCGTCTCCACATTTTCCCCAAAGCTGGCATAAGCCTAACCTTCCCCCTTCAGTTTATTTCTTTATCTTATCTTTCATAGCTTTATTATTTCATTCTACTCGGCTTTATACCAAGTTTCTGAAATAACTTTCCGTGTGGTCATTTCAGTTTGCGCTTTAAATGCAGGAGCATCTCATCGCTACTATGAAACAATCGAGTTTGCACTCCGCCTTGTGATCAGATCACGATATATTTATTTTTTAAAAAAAACCACCGACAAACGTTGCCCTCTCTAAATATGGAGGAGGAAGCTTCTCTCCCCCTTCCAGTAGCAAAAAAAAAAAAAGCGTTCGGAGCGGCATTTGCTCGTGCCAGAAACAATGATGGCATCAAAGGACGCGCCAGCTCATTAGAGGGAAGAGCAAATATGGAGCACTGTGGGAACGACAGGAAGTGACGTTTTGTTTTGCAGGAAGTGTCTGCCAGGAAGAATGGAGTTAGGGGCCTGCAGGGTAAGGCACGCCTTGGCCCCTTTGGCATGCAGTTGATTATCCTTTTTGTTTGGGTGCAAAGATGCAAAGGAAGGGAAGCTGCACACACACCGCAGTAAGCGGGAGAACGGAATTCTTTCCCAGAGGCAAAGGAAGAGGGAGGAAAGAACCATTCCTGTAAATGCAGGGGAGGGGAGAGATAGATGGGGAAATATGATTTCCCTGTGCTAAGGATTTAGGGAGAGAAATAGCAGTACTTGACATATCCCTGTCAGTTTCTACAGCCTCCCTTTATTGCCTTTCCCAGTGTTTTAATATTGCTGGGAGACCTGATGGAAGTCCTTTCAAATGCATTGTTTCGAGCATGAACGTTGGGGTTTGCCTTCACATCTTTGGCTCAGGGTGAGGACTCTTTTGGTACTGACCTTTTGTTTTCTTCCACCCTGCCTTCAGGTTGCGTTTGAAAAGGATGGTGTCTATCTACACACCAGTGCAAAGCGTCATCCCGATCAGGATTCTATCATCCCGGGGGTTATCCGCATAATTGAAAAGGTGGGTTAAGATGGGCTACCCGTTGGGACTGAGAAGGTGTTTTAGTAGAGGTTAGGGTTACGCCCCTAGAATGGGTAAATGTCAGAGTTGTGTGTATTTTGCATGATGGTAGAACTTGGGTTTTTAGCATGGAACTCAGCATGCTGAGTACTTCATCTTTGAACTTTTTAAAAAGCTGTTAGATTGTATCGTTTAGGAAGTCAGGCTGCAAAAATGAAATACAAGCTGGTGAAATCTCAGAGCTCAGAGAGGACCTGAATAGGATTTTCAATTATTGTGTTGGGGGGAGGCTTGCAAAGGGGTGGGGAAAAGGAGAATTATCGGATTATCGCTTTTTGTTTCTCTTTGTTGCTAGAGGTGTAACGTACTAAGGCTCATCTGTGTTTGATATGAATTGTTTCAATGCAACTTGTGTGTGCTGCTCCGGATATTTTGGAGTTCTGGGCCTCTGACAAGCTTACCTTTATTCAGGGCTCAGATACGTTGCTACAATGGATGCCCGTAGAGGAGACTTCAGACGCTGCTCAGATAACGTTCACTAAGAAGGTGAGGTTCCCATCCCAGCCATTCATCTGCATTCACCATCTAAATCCATTCCCATCTCAAAGACTGAGTAGGTCTGTACATTCCTTTAGACTAGGGATTCTTAAAATTGTATCACGTTCTAACCACCGTCGTAATCTATTTGTTAAATTGAAATAATCATATAAGATGAAGAAAGGAACACCTTCCTCCTCCTAATCTTGTTCTCTGACCATCAGGACACGGTGGGCTGCCAAGCTGATGAAGAAATCTTTGACCCAGGGTATGAGCCGGACTGGGCCGTCATCAGTACTGTGGGGACTCCGTCTCGGGTCCAGGAGGAAACAAATGGTAACTAGAAAGAAGACTACTCCTTGGGGTAGCTAAGAGACAAGGGCTGAGAGTGGCTGGTAAACTGACAATGTAGAATGTAGGAGTGGGGAAGGAGAAAGAGCTGGCAGCAGGGGGTTGTGGGATAGTATCCTAGGAAGGAAAAGGGTTGTCTAACACCACTTTTTCCTTCCCCTCCAAGCGGCTTCTGGGCCAAAGTCTCCTGTTCCACGTGGCCAGTGGGCTTTCACGCTCCACTTGTCTGAGCTGAAATCCATCCGTAAAAGCAAGCCAGGTCTGGGTTGGTCGTACCTCATCTTCATCACCAAAGATGGGGTCTCCATTCAGGCCCTGCACTTCCACCGTGGGGGTACCAAGGCCCTTCTCAAAGCCCTTTGCAAATATGTCATCTTAGCCACGTGAGTGAAACTGGCGTCCTGTACCTGATCGGTGTAGATTAGGAGGGAGGGGTGGGAACAGGGGATGGCCATGTCGGTGCAGTCACCGCTTTGCAGAAATCTGCAAAACGACAAAAAGGAACTTCTCTGCATTCTCAGCAAAATAGTGTCACAGGGGCTCGACGACGACCCTTCACTGTCTTCGTCGTTCGAGCTCCCCACTCCGCCAAGCGCGGCCACGTTGTCTCGCCCCCTTCCTTTTCTCTCGGACTATGCTGGCCTCAGACACCTGGACGGGGGAGGGTGGTTACATCACCATTCCGTCTCCTCCCGTCCCTGCTGGATGACGCTCTCATTCTCTCTGGGCAGCCGTCCATCCAGGAGTCATCCCTGGCCTCCTCCGTTGCTTCCCTTATATCTCCCCCACCCGGTTCCCAGTGGGCTCTGCTCTTCCTGGCTCCCTCCTCCTCCTCAGGCCCCGCCCCCTCTCCTGCCACCTCTCCTTCCGGCCGCTGCTCCCGGCTCGTCGTTGCTCCCTGGGCATGGTCAAGGCTAGGGGCGGAGGCGTCACTACCTGCCTCGCCCGCCCTACCTCCCTCCCCGCTGGGGCCCGGAGTGTCGCTGCCACCGCCCCTCTTGCCCGCCCCGCCCCCATGTGTCAGCGGGGGCAAAGCGGCAGGCGCCTCCCCCCATCTCGCCTTTCCTGCCACCGTCCGCGTCCCCTCCGGCCTCCTGGGTAAGTGGGAAGGGAGCCGCGATCCCTCGTCTCGGCTCTGCGTGGGGCCCGGCATCTCCGGCCCTGGGGGGGTGGAAGTCCCGTCCTCGGGACAAATAGTATGAGAGACCATTTCCTAACACCAGCTTCCAAAAGTCAGTTTTGAGGCCCGCCTGTTGAGCAAGGCTCTAGCTGTCCCCCAAATGATCCAGGATGCTGTGTCAATAGTTGGTCTAATGATTTACCACACTTCAGACTGCTGGGGGAGAAAGTGCATTTTAAGAAACCTGTAATCCCTTGTCTGTTAACAAACACAGATTGCTGAGAAATAGAATCATAGAATGTTAGAGTTGGAAGGTACCTTGCAGGTCATCGAGTCCAACCCCCTGCACTCTGCAGGAGCACAGCCGAAAGATAGCCCTACAACATACCCGAAAGAGTCCAGCCTCTGCTTGAAAACATCCAGCGAAGGAGCATCCACCACCTCCCGAGGCAGTCTGTCCCACTGCTCAACCACTCTTACCGTTAGGAAGCTTCTCCTGATATTTAGCCGGTATCGACTCCCTTGTAATTTCCACCCGTTAGATCTAGTCTTGCAATCCAGAGCAAGAGAGAATAGATCCGCTCCATCTTCTACATGACAGCCCTTCAAATATTTGCAGACTGCCATCATGTCCCCTCTAAGCCTTCTCTTTCCCAGGCTAAACATACGCACCTCTTTCAGCCTTTCCTCATAAGACTTGGATTCCAGTGCTGTGCAAGAACCCTTTGTTCTGCTGTCCTAGCTTTCTACAGATAAGGAGGCCTACTCAAAAATATGTGTGTGTCCCCCCCCCCCCAGCTGTCTGAAGTGGTACAGTCCACGCAAAGATGCTACCATGTCACTGGACTGAACATGTAGCCTGGTTCGAAGTGCATTAAAGGGGAAGATGAGCTCACTCCCTGTTTCTCTCCTCTCCTCAAAGCTCCCCTAAAGATTCCCGGCTCTATCTGGTTTATACGCACGATTCCTATGCCCTCACCCACTCTTTCGATGAACTGCAGCTCTTCGACGACAGTTCTTCTAACCTCGTTTCGGTGAGATTCTTCTCCAGTCTCCACACGGCTCATCAAAAGAAGTATTTGGGGAATTAGAATGTGGATTGGAGCTGTGAGTCAGTAGCCTGTGGTAGCAGCCTGAATAGCCAGAGTTTGGAAGCTAAGCAGGGTTGGCCCTGGGTCATATTTGGATGGGAGACCACCAAGGAGGTCCAGGGCCACTATGTAGAGGCAAGCGATGGCAGACCACCTCTGAACATCTCTTGCCTTGGAAATCTAAGAAGGGTCACTATGTCAGTTAATAATTGCCCCATCCTCTGCTTTTATACTCACAGTAACAACCCTGTGTGGTAGGCTAGTCTGAGTGTAGTGTGACTAGAGATGTAAAATTTCCGGAAATTTTGAAGCTCGGAAAAAAAAACGTTTCCCCCCCGTTTTTTTTCGGGGGGAAACGGAAATTTTTGGAAAAATTGAAAAAATGCCGATTAGCATTTCTTTTGTCTTTTCTAGATTGAAAGCCATTCTGTTACTTTAGGAACATAAAATATGACTATGGGCATTTTTACTTGGCATGAAATTACCACAACTAGCATATTAAAATATAGTGTATCCAAACAATTATTACAAACGGAATACCCACCCACATGCAAAAACAAAACTGAAACTTTTTCTTCTTCTTCTGACAATCGCACCTCCTAAAGGAAGAACTGCATCTTGTTCTTGCATTGGCGAGTTCAGTTTGTAACCTAGGACTTGCTTGTCCTCAGTGCACAGAAATTAGATCAATCTGGTACCATATATATATATAAGAAATGATTTGGAAAATATTTGAACACCTTGTCTTAAAATATTTTATTCATAATGTTAAAATAAAACGTTCCATAATCAATTTTTTTTCTTTTCTTTTTTCAATTTTTCCAATTTTTCAGAAAAAACCAAAAAGTCTTCAGGGAAAAAAACAGAAAAAAACCGGTTTTCCCCCCGAATTTTTCCGTTTTTTTTCCGGGCCTTCACATCTCTAAGTGTGACTAGCTCGAAGTCACCTGTTGAGATTCCATGGCAGAGCAGAGATTTGAACGTGGGTCTCTGAGATCTTAGTCTAACCCCTCCACTGTGCCAACGGTCCCGATGGGATGGGAAGGGGGTGATCGGCGGGAAGAGACGAAGCTATGAACCAGGCTGCCATTGGCTAGAGCAGAGGAACCCTGGACTTCTGGGTTCTCTTTGGGAAGAGTTAGATTAGAGGAGAGGAGATTTAGTAGTAAATGCTGAGCAAACTGTAAAGATAGGGTTGTAGTGTATATCGAGGGTGACATTTCTGGCTCGCCTGGCAGAACGATGGAGTTTTATATACTATTCCCCACCCAAACATGTCATCATCATCCAGTGCAGAGCATGGCCCCCAACACGCCTTGACTCCCGTTTTATTCTCCTCCCACAGCGATTCTTGCAGGATCCTTATGCCGCCACCTTTGGGGGCTTCTCCAAAGTCACCAATTTCTTCCGCGGGGCTCTGCACCACGAGGACGGGACCCCCCAGCATCCCCAGAGCGACCCTGGCGCTGGCAACGTCGAGGACGAGACGGGCTTTGAGTTGATCACCTGTGTGAGTGTCGGAACCGGCGGCTCCGGTGAGGGGGGCTGGGCAAAGCGGCGGCCATTCCTGTGCCCCTGGGAAGGAGCAGAGCTTCTGGCCACCCTCTCTCCTCCCCAGCCACTCCCTCTTCCCCGCTGGCTGTGACTGAACTGGAAGCAGCCGTGCCGGTGGGACCGGAAGACAGCGGATGCCTTGAGCCCTTTGGCAGAAGGAGGTGGGCCCAGCTGGGCCCGTGTGTCACAGGCAGTGTTCCCTCTAAGCGGAGTTAGTGTGAGCTAGCTCACTGTTTTTTTAGCCTCCAGCTCACACATTTTTGTTTTGGCTCCGGAAGGAGGACTCCAGAGCAATGCTCCCCCTAAGCTGTGGAGTCTTGTGAGCAAAAATGCTACTTTGGGAGCTACCGGCATTAAAGCTGTGAGCGAGCGATTTGGCTCCTGCATGAATCAGTTTGCTCTGGAGCCGTCCCTTCCTGAGCTAAGACAAAAATGTGTGAACCGGCAACTAAAAAACGGTGAGCTAGCTCACACTTAGAGGGAACACCGCTCCAGAGCAGACTAATTTATGCAGGAGCCAAATCGCTCGCTCACCACTTTAATGCCAGTAGCTCACAAAGTAGAATTTCTGCTCACGAGACTCCGCAGCTTAGAGGGAGCGTGGGTCCCAGATACTGTCCTCCTCACCCCAAGGCAGCTGTGGCACTAAAGTGTCTTGGCAGATGCCGCAGTTAATCTTGCCCAGTCGGGTCAAGGAGCAGACATGTCAGAGCATCCGCCAATCTCCTTCCTCCAGGGATCAGAATGCAAGGGCCTGCTCCGTCAGCGTCTTCCAAGATGCATGTGACCGAAGAAGCGATCCCCCAAAACGAGGACGCCAGGAAAATAATCAGCCTCTCCCAGTGGCTTTTAAAATGGCCTTGTGATAACCTTGGTGTCCTGCAGACGTTTAGCAGGTCAGTCATGGCGGAGAAGCCTCCCCCAAAGCTGGTTGGTTTGCCGTTACCTGACTTCTCACCCCACATGCAGAGGCAGGGAAGAGTCGGTCCCACTTTCTGCTCGGGTGGGGAGTTCTCTAGACCAGCAGGACGAACACCTCCTCCACACCGAGCAGCTGCCTTAATAAGTGTCCTGGATCCTCGCAGGGCTCTTTTTGTAGCAGGTACTCATTTGCATATTGAGCGACTGTATAGAAATATTGCTTTCTATAGGCTTCATGTCTTCCCTGAAATGTCTTTCTGATACCTTGTTTCCTGTTACAAGCCAGATGGCTGACCATTTGGTCAGAGAGGCTCAATAGCCTGCCATATAACTACATAGTCTTCACACTTCTAGTAGGGAAACCTAGACCTGATGGCGCCTGGCTTTGCCTACATGCCAGGACTCACGTAAAGCATAGAGCTCCAAGAGCTTACAGTAGCTCCTGTAAGAAGAGCTCTGTAAGCTCTTGGAGGATTGGCTACATTAGGGGTGTGTGGCCTCATATGCAAAGGAGCTCCTGCTACAAAAACAGCCCTGATCCTCTGCAACCTGTGGGCAGGCTCCAATGGGGGAAAGCGTTTCCTGAGAGCCGAGCTTTTCCTTTGGGAGGTCTGTTGGCCTCTCTTGTCCTTTCTAGGGCAGGGAGCTCGTCTTCTGCTCTGTCCTGCCCCCCCCCCAGCTCCTTCTGTATTCTATTTATTTCCCCCCCTCACTGAGACTCGAGGCAGATTATAGAGGACAGAAAGAGAGAGAAAATGTAACCCCACAGCACAGCATGTCCAGTTGACGCTGCAATGGGACGAGGAGTTTCAGAATTGAATTTCAAGTGTGAGCCACAGTGTAATCATACAGTTTAGGCCAGTGGTGGCGAACCTATGGCAGGGGTGCCAGAGGTGGCACTCAGAGCCCTCTCTGTGGGCACGCGGGCCATCGCCCCAGCCAGGCCCAGACCATCATTAAAGTGTCGAATTCTCTGCCGAATGATTTTAAGTAAACGAAAGCATTTGGGATTGCTTTCCTTACTTTGTTTGGATCATCTTAAGATGTATGAGTGGTTTTCTCTAAAGTAAAACCTCAGTATTCAGGTTAAATTGCCGTGTTGGCACTTTGCGATAAATAAGTGGGTTTTGGGTCGCAGTTTGGGCACTCGGTCTCTAAAAGGTTCGCCATCACTGGTTTAGGCTATCCAGTGAACAATGTCGCGGGACTGGGAATACAGAATGGAGTGACAACGTGAATGGCAAACTGCCCAGGCAGGGCCAGCCTCAGCAGACCCTTGGGTGGGGGGGGCCGGGGGCTTGTGGCGAGCTCGTGCTGTGGCCCCCCCAAGCCTCTGCCCGGCCCACACCCAGGTTCCCACCTGCACGCACAGCCCAGTGCCCTCAGAGAAAGGGCTGCCGGGAGATGCGAGCATGGCAGCAGCAGGGCAGAGGAAGGATGCGTAGGCAGGTCGCGGGCACACGGGGGGTGGGGAGGAAAGGGCAGGAGAGGACGGAGGGGGGCCTCCAGGAGCTGTCTGCCTAGCCCCCCCCCCCAAATCTAGAATTGCCCTGTCAGGCCACACACAGTGCAGAGTGGGAGATGACAAAGGTATGACGTGATGCAATCCCCACTCCACTATGGAGGCCCCCTTCTGCCCCGTTACAGATCTGATTCCATTACAAGAACACTCTCCTGGGGGAAAATGAGAATTCCAGAGGGGCAACCGTGTTCGTCCATTGCAGCAAAAACAAATGAGACTCTTGCAAAAGAGTAACCAAATAAGCGAATCGAAAACAGCAAGAGTTCAGCAGCGCCACAGAGGAACGCACTCCTTTTTTGGGGGATGAGCTTTCGTGAGTCGCCGAAGAAGTGAGCCAGTGACTTGGGAAAGCTCATCCCCAGCCACAAATTCTGTTAGTTCGTCTTTAAGCTGCTGCTGGACTCTTGCTCTTCTCTGCTGCGCCAGACAGACAAACACCCGTTTTCAGAGGTCAGTTCGTAGAAAAAAGAGGTGCAGGAGCTCATTAGCATAACTCATTAGCATAACGCGTTTGCATATGCCACACCCACTTTCACCGGAAGTGTGTCAGAAGGCAATACCCACCGCTCAGGCTCCACTGGACTTTTTTGGATTGCTAGCTATTGGGGGAGGGGGGGAATGCACAGATCTGCCCTGGCAGAGGAGGGAGAGCTTGTACCTGAATAAAACTTGGTCTTAAAGATGCCACTGGACTGTTTTGGATTGCTAGCTATGGAGGGGGGGAACGCGCAGATCTGCCCTCACAGAGAATGGAGAGGTTGTACCTGAAGGCAGGCCGGGGGGGGGGTGCTCTGCAACTTACCTGGCTGCTTCTTGCTCTTCGTAGCTCGACTGAGGGCTGCTGGGAGCAGAGGGTGGGGCTTGTTGCATGTACCCACCCCCTGGGCTCCTTACTGCCGGAGCTCCGCTCCTGTACGCTCCCGCAGGAAACGACCCCTGCCCGTCTCAAAAGAAGCTAACAACAGCCAAGCGCGGGTTCCCTCACTGCCTCCGAAGAAGCAGGCTCTAGTCCACGAATGCTTACGCTGGAATCAAACCGTGTTAGTCTTTAGAGCGTCCCGAGACTCCCGTTTAGCTCGCCTCCTTCCTTACCACTCTTTCTGTTTGGTGGCGGCAGCAGGCACGACTGGCAGAGCGGCCCTCCGTCCAGCGGGAAGCCCCGGTCACGGAACAGGAGTGGGAGCAGCACCTGGATCCCTGTGGGCGTGTGGTGGACCCCAGTGGGCTGCGCAGGAGGATCTTTGCTGGGGTGAGCTTGACTGGCGTCCGGGGAAGCAGGAGAGGCCCATTGCAGGCCAGGAAACAGCAGGCGAAGGAGAAGAGGGCGTACGGGTGGCGACATGTGAAGCCAGGAGTGCTTCTTTCCCCTTCCTAAAAACGTAAGGCTGGGGTGGAGTTACGGAGGCCTGGGGGGACGTGGATTTGGGAGGGCACGGTCAGCCCGCAGACGGAGATTCCTAACACGCTCCCTCCCCTGCTTTTGTCAGGGATGAGTATTTCCGCATGAAGCTACAGTGGAAGTCGGTCAGCGAGGAACAGGAACGACGGAACTCCTTGCTGCGTGGCTACCGCAGCCTGATTGGTCAGTCTGAGCTCCACCTTCCATGCCTGATTAGTCACTGCCTGCATTGCCCTCCTTGTCCCAGAATGCATTTCTGTGTCTCTGGTTTGTTTGCTTTTGGTCCCCTTTTGTCCGCAGAGGCTTGTCCACATAGCACTAAACGTTTGGTGATTGTAAAAGTGTCCAGTGATGATAAGAATCCATTTGTACAGAAAGGGCCAGCATTCCTTCATACGGTGGCCGGCCATACGTTTCTTGGGAAAACGCAGCATTGAAACAATAGACTTTCATGACTGTTTCTCCCACCCCCTGCCAGCAACCGATATTCAGAAGCACATTCTGAACATGGAGGTTCGATGGCTAATAGCCACAGATTCCTGAAGGACAGGCCTCACTCTCTCGTGAGGCATTTTATTGGGAGGGGGGCTCCCTAAGCTGGTTGTATGAAGATGCAGCTTTGTTCATTGGTCCTGTATCTTCTGTATCTGCTGCTGAGTCCTAGTGCTGGGCGACAAGAGTGTCTTTTGGAGAGTGGTGAACGGAACAGAGGGGACAAGAGTAGAGACTGATACGAAAGTGGCTGACTGACTTTCAGTCCTTTGCTAAAGCCCCTGTCATGGAATGTCCCTTTTTTCTTCTCCTTTTTTTTGGGTTTTCCATATGTTAAAAAGGTAAAGGTAATGGTTCCCTTGCTCGAAAGCCAGTCGAATCCGACTCTAGGGTTGCGGTGCTCATCCATATGTTACATGATATCTTTTGTCTCCTTACTTTACATAACTCGTTAAATTCCCCGCTCCCTCCCTCTGCCCCTTAGTTATCGGTCCTTTATTCCCAGCCACGGGCACAAAGTCTGAATCTTCCACCGAATGTCCTGTCTTCCTTCCAATATTATTCACGTTAGATAGGTCCTCCATCTATTTTTGATTTCTCCGGCTTTATCCTCCCATGTGGTCCTCGGGCGTAATTTCTCGATGATGTCAGACTGCACAAAATCAAACAGATAAGTGTGCCAGGTATCTGCTGTCCATTTGCTCTTATCTTTCCAGCCCAGAGCTATCACTGCCTTGGCTGCTAACACCATAAGGTAAAGGTAAAGGTTCCCTTGCTCGAAAGCCAGTCGAATCCAACTCTAGGGTTGCGGTGCTCATCTCTGTTTCAAAGCCGAAGAGCCAGCGCTGTCTGAAGACGTTTCCGTGGTCATGTGGCCGGCATGACTGAACACCAAGGCGCACGGAACGCTGTTACTTTCCCACTGAAGTGGTCCCTATTTATCTACTTGCAATGTCTTGCTTTCGAACTGCTAGGTTGGCAGGAGCTGGAACTAGAGACAGGAGCTCACTCCATCATGCGGCACACTCGGGTCTCAAACTGCTGAATTCCTGACCTTCCACAGCCTGCAGTTCAGCGTTTTAACCACTTGAGCCACCGCAGCTAACACCATAACTTTAAGTATAGCCTGGGCTTCCTTGTTAACTGCCTTATTTCACTCAATGTAGACTTCAAACTAATGTTAATGGGAATGTCCCCTTTTTTTTACACTGTGTAGGAGTGGCCCCATCGCAGGCCAGGAGATGGCAGGCGAAGAAGAAGAGGGCATATGGGTGGCCCACTGTGTGCTTGAAATGATGTTTTTCATCAAGTGACATAGTCTGAGCCTAAGATCCTCTTTCCTTCTTAATCAGGGCCAAGTCAGATTCCCTCTCTGTATAGTTGTAGTAGGTTTCTTTAAAAAATAAAAAAATTAAAATCCCCGTATGCCTGACTTTGCTGTGAATGGCACTGAGTCTCCTCGGCCGTGCTGCTGGCCATCTCCCCCAGTCTGGGATGAGTCTTCTTGCGCTCTTCCCTTTTCACCAACGTGGATAATCTGCTGTCACCTACATTGTAGGTTCCACATAATGTCTGAGAAGTTGAACAGAGCTGCTGTGGTGTAGGATCGGGTGAAGCTCTGGGAAACACTCTGCCGTGGAAGCTTGCAGGGTGACCTTGGGCCAGTTGCTCTCGGCCTGACCCCCCCCCCCAGGCTTGTTGTCAGGCTAAGTGAGAGGAAGGGAGAACAGGGTTGCAAGCCTTTTTGTGTCTCCACTGGGAAGAAGGAAGGGTATAAATATCTAAATATCTGAGGGTCTGGTGTCGTGTTTAGGGACGCGGACTCTTCTCTGGGAGAACCGGGGTTTGATTCCCCACTCCTCCACATGCAGCTGCTGGTGTGGCCTTGGGTCAGTCCCAAGTTCTTTCAGAGCTGTTCTCTCAAGGGCAGCTCTTTTTTGAAGAGCTCTCTCAGCCCCCACCTACCTCACAGGGTGTCTGTTGTGGGGAGGGGAAAGGAAGGGAATGAGATTGTAAGCCACTGAGACTCCATCGGGTAGCGAAGGGCAGGGTATGAATCCAATCTCCTCTTCTTCTAAATGAGAGCACCAGAACTAATCCAGATCCCACTCTATGCTTCTCTCTGCTGTGGAAACTCTTGTCTATTTCTACCTTCTGCTTCCCGGTCCTTCAAGTACTTGTCAGTCCATGAGAGGGCCGGTCCCTTTATCCTGTGGCGGCCAAGTCTAGAGTCACACTAAATGTGATGTGAGAGATCCATGTTTTTTTATAAAATCTAATTAGGCCACTCGCACACCCAGCATGGCTGCTTTGAAGATCGTGGACAAGACAGGTGTGGGGGGGAAAGCATTTCTCAGTCCTCCTAAGCTGCAGTTACCTTTCCAAAGCTGGGAGAAGGGGGGGGGGAGACTGGTTATTGGAAATTGGATTATACTCATTAGCACCTTTTACTGTTGTTGTTGTTCTGGTTTTAGCACTGTGATTTTGTGCATTGTAGTTTTGATGTTGTAAGCTGCCCTGAGCCAGCCATGACTGGGAGGGCAGGGTATAAATATCATAAAGAACTAGATAATAAATACATAGGTGATTTCATTAGGGGAATTGGCCCAGAAGGCAAGGATTGAATGCACACGCCCCAAGCAACCCTTCCTTGATCTTTAGAAGAGCCCAGCAGAGCTGTGAATGAAGTTTTAAGAAAATGGGCAGATGCCCTTCTCGCAGATCTTCCATGTAGCGTCTTGTTTGGCCCTTATTCAGGAGTTTTCAGGAAGGATTTCATCACAGATTTTTTGGAAGTCTCTCCTTTACCGATTGGATTGCCCCTGTTTACCTACTTGGTCTCATCTGTCCAAGTAAAAGTCTTCTCCAGCAGAAGCACCCAGGGTCCTGGCTGTATTGACACCTGCTCCCGGAAATCCTTTAAGTGGACATGCCAGGAAATGGACGTGGGTTCTTCTCCATGCCAAGCAGGTGCTTTACCTGGGAGCCATTCCTGGGGTGGTGCCTCTGTGCCATGTCTCTCACTCACTCACGGGCTGTCGCTTGTCCCGCTGAAGCATTACAGACCGTTGGAACACGTTCACGTCATATTTCAAACTCTGCCTTTGACAGGCAGTAAATAATCCAGCCCGCCTCACTCCGTAAGTCTGCCTCTCTTTGCAGAAAGGGACGTGAGCCGCACGGATCGGAACAACAAGTTCTACGAAGGCAGTGAGAACCCGGGCCTCGTGCTCCTTAATGACGTGCTGATGACCTACTGCATGTACAATTTTGACCTTGGTAAGGATCTGGTTGGTGGGCGGGGGGAAGAGGACCAGCCCCAACTTTCAGAGGCCCTTGGGCGGTTTGGCCTAGCAGGACCCTCTCACTGTCCCGGGGGTAAGGGTTGTGGCTAGTGAGGGGCAGAGGAGAAATGCAGCCTTTGAACTGATGAGCCCCAAGTCCCTCGTGGCAGTCTGAACAGGGATCAAAACAGGGTTGAAAATCTCTCCCAGTTCCCTGCCTTCTCTTGTTTTAGTGGTGACTGAAAGGGGGGGCGGGTATGCAAGGAAATGGTGAAACGTGTAGTAGACCTGCCTGGGTCTGGCAGATCCCCGCCAGCAGAGGGCGCTGTGTGGCCCTCCCACAGGTCTCCAACTAAGAAAGCAGGGGGAGGGGTTCCTTCACCCTTGTTCTCTGTCCCTCTCCTGTCCCTGTTTCTTTCAACCTGAGAAGAAGCCAGAGCCAGTGTCCTCCTAGACCAACCATTGACTCAGCATCTTGGATCCTTTGGGGGACCTGGGAGAGGAAGGGAAGGAGATTGTGTTGCTCTAAGACTCAGAGTGACGGGCGGGGTATAAATCCAAATGGTGGTGATGGTTTTGTCTGGCATTTTCTCAATAAATCCCTCCTTTCCTTCCCTGTTTTCAATTGTCATTTGATGGATGCACCATTTGGCAGAGAATTCGACACTTTAATGATGGTCTGGGCCTGGCTGGGGCGATGGCACGTGTGCCCACAGAGAGGGCTCTGAGTGCCACCTCTGGCACCTGTGCCATAGGTTCGCCACCACTGTCCTAGACCAACCATTGACTCAGCACCTTGGATCCTTTGGGGGACCTGGGAGAGGAAGGGAAGGAGATTGTGTTGCTCTGAGACTCAGAGTGACGGGCGGGGTATAAATCCAAACAGTGGTGGTGTTGGTGGTTTTGTCTGGCATTTTCTCAGTAAATCCTTCCTTTCCTGCCCTGTTTTCAATTGTCATTTGATGTATGCACATTTTATTGTACGGCACGTGTGTTTTACCTTGCCTAGGATACGTTCAAGGCATGAGCGATCTCCTCTCCCCAATCCTTTACATCACCCAGAATGAAGTGGATGCCTTCTGGTGCTTCTGTGGGTTTATGGCGTTAGTGGTGAGTTGGGGCAACCGTGGACTTCCTCCCTGTATATAGAGCTCCAGGGATGAGTGGCCAGCGAGCGCTTGCAGTAGGTGTGCCTTGGTCCCAGTGGCTGAGGGCTTATAGGGAAGTGAGTCGGGCATGCATTCAAGACGTCTCTCCATCCTGAATGTGTTTTAGGTTAATACTTGGAAACCTGAGTTTGCAGGATAGCTTACTGCAGTAATCCCTACAGAATGGTACACTGTTCAAGCTGAGATTTTTGCATCGGTTTGAAAAGTATACCGGTCAGACAGTTTTTGTTCACAGCACATATGTTTGATTCCCCCTCCCCCCCTTTCAAGACGTCTCCCCATTCCAGCTAGGTCCGTCTCATTCTGTGCGGGGGGTGGGGGCGGGATCCTCCTGAGGCTGGAGGCCTTCAAATGCTTAGAGGGGGTGAGCATCTTGAGTATGAAAAGAAGTCCTATTGAACTTGTTTGATCGTTTGCTCGATACGATTGTTGGGAAACATGTTGCGAACTCAGATTTGTCATCTACTTTTTGCATCGTATATGCAAACTTCATGACCTCCGTGAAACCTGAGTTTGCAGGATAGCTTACTGCAGTAATCCCTACAGAATGGTACACTGTGCAAGCTGAGATTTTTGCATTGGTTTGAAAAGTATACTGGTCAGACAGTTTTTGTTCACAGCACATATGTTTGATTCCCCCTCCCCCCCTTTCAAGACGTCTCCCCATTCCAGCTAGGTCCGTCTCATTCTGTGCGGGGGGTGGGGGCGGGATCCTCCTGAGGCTGGAGGCCTTCAAATGCTTAGAGGGGGTGAGCATCTTGAGTATGAAAAGAAGTCCTATTGAACTTGTTTGATCGTTTGCTCGATACGATTGTTGGGAAACATGTTGCGAACTCAGATTTGTCATCTACTTTTTGCATCGTATATGCAAACTTCATGACCTCCGAAAAAGGAATACTACCTAAAACAGCAATAGATCACAAACCGGGAGGCTGGAGGCCTTCAAATGCTTAGAGGGGGGAGCATCTTGAGTATGAAAATAAGTCCTATTGAACTTGTTTGATCGTTTGCTCGATACGATTGTTGGGAAAATGTTGCGAACTCAGATTTATCACCTACTTTTTGCATCGTATATGCAAACCTCATGAGGCTTTGTGTTGTAATTATGCCAGTTAAATACACTGTTGTGTTAGTTTTGTTGCGAAAGCTGTTCAAAGCAATAATTTAAAAAAAGTTGTCTCCCCATCAGCTTGTTCGCTCTCGCTTTTCCCTCTTCAGCACCGCAACTTTGAGGAAAGCCAGGAGTCCATGAAGCGCCAGCTGGCCCAACTCACCCTGCTCCTCCGGGTGCTCGATCCGCCGCTCTGTGACTTCCTCGGTATGTCCCAGTAGGGTCGCCAAACACGGGGCCACAACGTTTAGTATCGGCTCTGGGGCTGTGACCCGGACAGCCCAGGCAGGCCTGATCTTGTCAGACCTCGGAAGCGAAGCAGGGTCAGCGCTGGCTAGTATCTGGAAGGGAGCCCACCGAGGGAGGTTTGGGGTTGCCACGCAGAGGCAGGCAGTGGCCGGTCACCCCGTGTTTACAACAGTCAAGAGGGCCTTGGGCCCTCTTAAGGATTTCACACATTCATTGTCCTATGAGCTTCTGTGGAGTAGAGCTCCCTCCAAGCAGATGCGATACAGGTTGGCCCAGTCTCGTCAGATATGGTGAAGCTAAGCAGGGTTGGCCCTGGTTAGTATTTGGAGGGGAGACCACTGAGGAAGCCCAGGGTCCGCAGCACAGAGGCAGGTGAGGGCAAAAGCCACCCCTGGACATCTCCTGCCTTGAAAAGCATACAGGGGGCTCCGTAAGCTGGCTGCAACTCAACAGCCAAAAAGAAAGTGGAGGCGACCCAGATCATCTATTCAGACATATTTTAGGAGATCTTTCACCATGAGGTGGAAACCTTTTGAATCCCTAAATATCCAGGGGCTCTTTTCCTGGCTTTTATTTCCCTTTAGCCCCCCCTCCTTGAGTCTGTGCGTCTTTTTAAGCTTAGGAAGGGACCGGGGCTGGGCACAGCCACCCCTGAGAGTGCTTTCTTCTCCGCAGCCATACAACTGGCAAACCAGGCACAAACACAATATGTTAAAATGCTCTCTATTGAGCAGCGATAGAAGGACATCAATGTTTTCTCACTCAAGTTATTTTTCTTTAAAAGTCTGAGAAAAAAGAGCCTCTGCTGGGCCTTCTTCACCAGAGCAATGGTGTTAGCGCTCCAGGTCAAATTTTGCTCGACAGTCACTCCCAAAAACTTAAAAGTAGCCACCCTCTCCACTCGTTCTCCACCAATAACCAGTGGCTGGATGTCCGTTTTATTCCGCCTATAGTCCACTACCAATTCCTTGGTCTTGGTGGTGTTGAGGATCAGATTATTATCCCTACACCACACACAAAGCCATTCCACCTCATCCCAGTAAGCAGACTCATCATTCCCAGAGAGAAAAAGAAAGTGGAGGAGACCCAGATCATCTATTCAGACATATTTTAGGAGATCTTTCACCATTTTGAATCCCTAAATATCCAGGGGCTCTTTTCCTGGCTTTTATTTCCCTTTAGCCCCCCCTCCTTGAGTCTGTGCGTCTTTTTAAGCTTAGGAAGGGACCGGGGCTGGGCACAGCCACCCCTGACTGATCCCTGACTTGTCCCATTGCTTCTCTTCAGACTCCAAGGAGTCCGGCACTTTGTGCTTCTGCTTCCGGTGGATCCTGATCTGGTTCAAGAGAGAATTTGCCTTCTCTGAAATTCTGCAGCTGTGGGAGGTGAGGTGGTGTTTGGCTTCCGAGAGGGTTTCTTGACTGTCTTTGAGTTCCTGGTGGTGGCGGCGGCGGGGGAAGCAAAGGGCTTGCAGTGTTGGCGCCAGGCAGACGTTGACAGCGCACAGAGTTGCGGGTGACCCAAAGCCAGCAGCTGTTTTTCTGGGATCAGAAATCCGGTTCTCTCTCTCAGCCTCTTCTTGGCAGAGCAGGGCGGTCCGGCATTCCATGCACGTGGCTTTCACTGACTTCTCCCGAGGACGGCATAGAGCAGCTTCATGTATTTGATGAATTGAGCTGGGACTCACAGAAGCTCATGCTAGGCTTGAAGGGGCTACTAGACTCCTCTCTTTATTTTAGCAGCCTTTACAGTATTCTCCTAGGAGCAGCAGGCTGCACCATAAGAACATCAGAAGAGCCCTGCTGGACTCAGGCCAGTGGTCCCTCCAGTCCAGCATCCCGTCTCACACAGTGGCCAGCCAGTTCCTCTGGAGGGCCGACAACAGGGCACAGAGACGGAGGCCTTCCCCTGATGTTCCCTCCAGGCTCTGGGATTCAGACGTTGATTGCCTCTGAAAGTCACCGTGCCGAGTACCTCTGTCCTCCACGAAGCTGTCTAATCCCCTCTTGAAGCTGTCTCTGCTTGTGGCCATCGCCGTATCCTCTAGCAGTGAACCCCACAGTTTAAGCACTCTGTGCAGTGAAATATATTTCCGTT